CATGGCACCAGTTCACATTTAACCAGACTATTCAGATCTACAGCTGTGCAGAATATCCAACCCAGGGTGTGGTCTGCTTCATATGTGGGGCCTGACACAACCTGGAAGAGTTCCAGTGCTACCATGGAAGCCATGAAGTCTGAGGTGGCTCCAACCACCGTTGTGTCTGCATGGACATTGAAACCCCCCAGGACCAAAAGTTGTGGAAAATGCAATGCCCAGTCAGAGACAACATCTGCTAGAGCCAGTTTGGTGTAGTGGTTAAGTGCGCGGACTCTAATCTGGGAGAACTGGGTTTGATTATCCACTCCTCCACTTGCACCTGCTGGATGACCTTGGGCAAGCCATAGTTCTGGCGGTAATAGGGGAAAAGGCCACAGGAAAAAAACCCACAGGAAAAACCCCACGGTCATAAATGCTCACAGGAAAAAAGCCCACATGGAAAAAAGCCCATATACATAAAAGCCCACACGGAAAAAAGTCCACATGGAAAAATACCATGTAAAGCACCGTAGATATTTATAATTGTGGATAACCATTCATCTCCATTTATGAGTATGAACAGGTATTACCTGTATTCACATGCAACAATTTGTGTTGTCATTTTATCAAGTATAATTAAATATTATTAGGTGACCTGCCTGTGCATTAGCCAGTATTAGTTTGTGGCAAGCGAGGTTCCTCTGCAGTCTATCATATAGAGACCACACGCTGTGTGGTGTCTCTTCCCCTACATTCACTATCTGGTGGCTGGATTTTAAGAGTGTCAACTAGGGTTACCATTTCCAGATGGGGCCTGGAATTTTCTGAGAATTAAAACTGATTTTCAGACTACTAAGATCAGTTCCACTGAAGGAAATGGCAGCTCTGGCAGGCAGACTCTATAGCATCACATCCCCACTGAGCCCTTCCCTTCCCTAATATCTGTTCTCCACAAGCACCACCCCCAAATCTCCAGGAATTTCCCAGACTGGAACTGGCAACCCTAGGGTCAACATATTTCTCTTCCTCTGATCACCACAAGTGCAATGTGAGTATATCTAAAGTGCCATCAAGTTGCAGCCAGTAGGGGCTGTCATGGCAAGCAAGAAGCAGAGGTTATTTGCTGTTGCCTTCATCTGGAGAGTCCTTCTTGGTGGTCTTCCTTCCAAGTATTGGCATTTGATGAAATCAGGCAATACCATGCCACTTTTCCTCCCCTACAAGTACAATACACATAATGTTTTTTTAATATGAAAAAAGATTTACCAGACTCATTGACAAAATGCCATAGAAGTAAATATTGTTTACTGTATAACATTCTGGCCATATTTCAGTGGTAATCCTCTTTTCAAATTTGACATAAAGGTTCTTTGCAATGCAAACGTGGAGGATTATACTTAATTTGCAGAATAATTTTAAAGGATTAACTGAGACATCTTTAATCATTTAAATTAGACACAGATTTCTTCAGTGTAACATTTCAGACTGTAGAGGAGCGATTAATGAGTTCTACTTTTGATCTTTTAAAATTAGCATTCCTGAGAAACTGACAACAACTATGACTCAACAATGGTTTGGTGCATCTGGACACCACTGCCCTCTAGCGATTGCAATAGGTCAGACTTTAACAGACTGAGATTTTTTTTATTATTTCTTGAGGACATAGGTTAGAAGACAGCAGTGCTAAGTGGACAAACTCTTATGAGCAAGAAGGTTTCATTGTGCTTGGCATTGAGATCTGAAATACAGGACCAAAATTGGCAATATTTTCCTAACACTAAATACAATTAACACTGTCAACACCAAATAAGTGCCTTAGTTTTCTGCAAACAAAGGACAAAGTACGCCTGAGAGCCAGAGAGGGAGAGAATGTACTACAAATTGCTGTACTCTACTGCTACCTTCTCCTGCCAACCTAGCAGTTCGAAAGCAAGAAATTGTAAGTAGATAAATAGGTACCGCTTCAGTGGGAAGGTAACAGTGTTCCGCGCACCTTGGCATGCTGGCCACATGACCTTGGAAAAGTCTTCGGACAGCAATGGCTCTTTGGCTTAGAAACGGAGATGAGCACTGCTCCCTAGAGTCGGATTTGACTGGCTTTCGAGCAAGGGAAATCTTTACCTTTACTGCTACCTTAGCACATGTACTTTATGTTTTGTCATCAGTGAGGTAGGAAAAAGGAAAAGCTAAGAATAGAAAACAAAAATTTGTAGAAAGAGAGGAAAGTTTATTATTTGGATAGAAACTGTTTCATATAGTCATAATAGATGCAGAGCAAAGCTGGGTACTGAAAATATTATTAACTTTTCAAGAATGTATTATCAGCATGTAATTATAGCAGATCAATTCTGGACAAAATTCGTCACATTTAAATAACAAACATATCCCTGAAAAGAGGTTGCTTATGTCTAGAAGCAAACATGGGATTTATCATTACCCAATGCAAAAGATTAAGAGGGGGTTAAAAGGCTGAGCTGCAGACCGAAGGTCTGTAGTTCGGCAGTTCAAGACCTTAGTGCTGCATGACGGAGTGAGCTCCCGGCTCTGGCCCCAGCTCCTGCCAACCTAGCAGCTCGAAAGCAAGAAATTGCAAGTAAATAAATAGGTACTGCTTGATTCAACTGTCTTTTGAACAAGCGAAACCTTTTAATGCAGAAGATTACGTTACATGCAAATCTTCATGCCACACATTCTGAGTGAGTAAAACCGTGTTTTAAAAGCCACTTTCAGTTCCTATAAAGTAGAAAGGTGGCTAATAAATGTTTTAATAATTACATTTAAATAAAATCCCAAAATAGAAAACAGTTCATAGTTTTATTTTAATTTCACCCTCAAATTTCTAATTTTTCTATTGCAAGAATGGAAAAAGTCCTCCCCCAAGAAAAGAATGAAAAGAAAAAGAAAAATGTTTCTGTGTGCTCCCCCAAGCTGTTAAATCTCTACACAAGGCACCTTTTTGTTTCTACTGCAACAAAATAATATTCTTTTCTGGAACCAGATTTCATCAATAATTGTCAATATACTTGTCTGCAAAACATGGCATGTATATTACAAAATTTACAGGTTCTCCACTGACAGTAGCCATCTCAAGATGCTGAATGGGAAGACTGAGGAATGGGGTTGGATAGATCCAGGGGTCATTTCGTAGAAAAAGAGGCACAGGAGCTCATTAGCATAATCAATTAGCATACCTTATTTGCATATGCCACACCCCCTGACATCACTGGAAGTGTGGCAGAAGGCAACACCCACCGCTCAGGCTCCACTGGACTGTTTTGGCTAGCTATTGGGGGGGGGGAACGTGCAGATCTGTCTTTGCAGAGGAAGGAGAGCTTGTACCTGAATAAAACTTGGTCTTAAAGGTGCCACTGGACTTTTTTGGGTGGGTGGGGGGGCTCTGCAACTTACCTGGCTGCTTCTTGCTCTGGCTGAGGGCTGCTGGAAGCAGGGGGTGAGACTTGTTGCATGTTCCCGCCCCCTGGGCTCTTTACTGCCAGAGCTCTGCTTCTGTGCGTTTCTGCAGGAAATGACCCCTGGATAGATCCAGACTAAAGTGGCAATTTCTGCCCCCTCCTCCTTCCACCTGCAGACCCTGCTCATGTCATTCCTCAGGGTCAACTATCACACAGGAGCAGTATTTCATAGAAATCAGTGGACAGCAGAGGTAGAAAAGTTCCATTCCACTGATGGAAAATATAATCTGGACCCAACCAAGCTTATCCTTTTCTCAAAGGTTTCCTTCAGTATTAGCCGTTTTTCATAAGCATACCAATTTTACCAAGACCCTGCACTGTTTCAGATTGCTGCTGAGTGGGGCTTCCTGTGTTAATGAGTGGCCGCTCACATGCACAGTTTAGAGAGAACACGGGAGGTGGATGGCTTGATCCTCATTTTTGGCACAATGATGCAACTTGCAGGTCAACCCAGAAGTAAAATCATCATGCTGGGGGAAATGCTCAAGCACTCACCCAAAATGCTATGGTTAAACTATAACTCTGTGGTTAAACTCTATAGTTAAATTATTTTTGAACTGCTTTTAGCAGCGTTTGCCAATAACACATTAAAAGAAGTTGGCAGAGTAAAATTAGAAAACCATATTCATGGGAACATTGAGGTGAAAAATGTGAACTATTGCTGAATTTACGTTGCCAGGCTCTTACTAGGAGCAAAAGGTTGCTGGCGAATCAGCAACATCACTTCTGGAACGCACTGGGAGTGATGCCATCATGTTGCCAGTGACACGGGGACATTCTGGTATTTGGACAAAAATTCCATGATAGAAGTCATTTTTACCATAGAGTTTTTACCAAAGTATTTCTTCATTGCCGGTGATGTGATGGGCGCTGGAAGTGATGTCACTGGTGATGCAGGATTAGGCCCCCTTTTGCTGCTGGTGAACCCCCTGCTGGCCAGCTGATTGGTGCCAGGGAGAGGGTCCCCAGAGCATGGATCCCCTGCCCCCAGTGGGGGCCTGGCAACCCTATTTATATCCTACCTTTGTCTCCAATGGAAACCCAAAATGGCTTACATCATTCTCCTGTCCTCCATTGTCTACACATAGCAAATCTTGTGAGGAAGGTTAGGCTGAGAGTATGTGACTGGCCCAAAACTACCCAGTAAGCTTCTGTGGCAGAATAAGGATTCAAACCTAGGTCTCCCAGCCCTTAATAGTATGCAGCTACTATGAGTATTTAACTGAAGGGTAACTATCACTTGTTTGTCATATGGAGTCCTTTAATTTACAGTTTTTCAATTGGAAGATGCCTTAAACTTGGACTAATTATTTCATCCCTGAAACAGAAAAACAAATATTGTGAATGGTTGAAAAGGACTTTTTGTAAACACCACGGCATTTCTGAATGCCAGACCATATTTTAGCTGTCAAGAGTGAGTCCACAATTAATCAGCAAGTTACTTAGCAACAGAGTTGTAGTTGGTTTTTAGCCATCCAAGCAGCTCTACCTGTGTCAGAGACACATGTATACAAAAACATTTGTTTTTTTTAATTTTATTTACAGCTTAGGTGGCGAAGTGGTGCGAGGAAATGAAGGAGGCTATGTGGGGAAACATTTTCGCATGGGATTTATGACGATGCCCGCTCCTCAGGACAGGCTACCGCACCCGTGTTCTAGTGGCTTCACCGTGAGATCCCAGTCACTTCATTCTGTCGGAGGTACTGATGATGAAAGCGGCAGCAGCTGCTCTCGCAAGCAACCGCCGCCGAAACCCAAACGTGACCCCAATACCAAGCTAAGCACATCCTCTGAAACTGTAAATGCTGGAACAACGAGTAAGAGTGGAAAGTTACCAGACAGGACTGAAGGTAAATTCTAAAATTGTATTTACTTTGGGAGATCATACACAAAGGAGCTGCGGTGGCTCAAGTGGTTAGGACGCTGAACTGCAGGCTGGAAGGTCGGTAGTTCAGCAGTTCGAGACCCGAGTGCCACATGACAGAGTGAGCTCCCGTCTCTGGTTCCAGCTCCCGCCAGCCTAGCAGTTCGAAAGCAAGAAATTGCAAGTAGATAAATAGGTACCACTTTAGTGGGAAGCAATGCTCCCTCTAAGCTGTGGAGTCTTGTGAGCAAAAATTCTCCTTTGTGAGGTACTGGCATTGAAGTTGTGAGCAAGCAATTTGGCTACTGCATAAATTAGTTTGCTCTGGAGCAATCCTTCTTGAGCTAAGACAGAAATCTGTGAGCCGGAGGCTAAAAAACTGTGAGCTAGCTCACACTAACTCAGCTTAGAGCGAACACTGGGAAGGTAACAGTGTTCCGTGCGCCTTGGCGTTTAGTCATGCTGGCCACATGACAACGGAAATGTCTTTGGACAGCGCTGGCTCCTCGGCTTGGAAACAAAGATGAGCACTGCATCCCTAGAGTCGGATTCAACTGGCTTTCGAGCAAGGGAAACCTTTACACAATGTTTGGTTATGAATGCCCTCAAATTGTGAGTAGGGTTGCTGCCATGGTGGAAGCAAACAAAGGTTACTTGTTATAATTTTTTTTTTCCTTTCCATGACCAAATTTCATCCCATGTGGTCTATGGTAAAAACAATCTTGTTATCAGAAAGTGTTCAGACAAGTAGTTTGCCTCAGAAAAGTGTTATTTTTTATTCTTCATTATCAATTGTGATGATTGTAAGGGTTATTTACTCTGTGCCATCTATGTCTATAGTGTTTTGCAGAATTTTGTAAATAAACAAGGGCATGTTCTTCCCTGCCCCCAACAAATTTACACTCTAAGTTTCAATAGCATCAAGATAGCATTGATCAGGATAACGAAATATGAATGTGAACAAATGTAGTTATACATCCCTTCTCCCCACCCTAAGTTGGGAGCTGGGCTGCTGAGAAAAGGAAAGCAATGAGCTCTTCATCTCCCAGCTTGGTGTAGTGGTTAAAAGCGGTGGACTCTCATCTGGAGAACTAGGTTTGATTCCCCATTCCTCCATATGAAGCCAGCTGGGTGACCTTGGGTCAGTCACAGTTCTCTCAGAGCTCTCTCAGCCCCACCTACCTCACAGGGGGAAGGCGATTGTAAGCTGCTCCAGTACTCCTTGTGATAGTGAAGAGTGGGGTAAAAAACCAACTCTTCTTCTTCCCTCCTGTGATGCAGAGATTAAAATAATTGCATATCTCCCTGACCACCTTGGATGGAGGAAGAAAAACAAGCTCTTTCCACCCTTCCTTTTGCAAAGCAAAGATCCAAAGCATTGCTTCTGTCCCCGCCCGGTTTGGAGCTCCGTTTTGTAACTTCACTGTAGTTATTTTACTGAGAGGATGAAAACTGGACTCCCAGTTTGCTCCTCACTGCAGCTGTAAGTCTGCTTATAACCAACAGGCAACTGCAAACTTAGTGTTACCTGCTCAATACAATCTGAACATATCCCTGATCAGCTCACAGTCTGATCATGAGCGTCAACCAAGTTAAATTAATCTGCAGAACAGGTGCACAGATGGGAGAATCTGAAGAAATCGCCTAATAAAACTTGAGTGTTGAAAATGAGTTGTCATACAGGCTACCAAACAGTTTTGCTTAGGGGTCATTTCATAGAAAAAGAGGTGCAGGAGCTCATTAGCATAACTCATTAGCATAACTTATTTGCATATGTCACACCCCCTAACATCACCGGAAGTGTGTCAGAAGGCAACACCCACCGCTCAGGCTCCACTGGACTGTTTTGGATTGCTAGCTATGGGGGGGGGGACATGCAGATCTGTCCTCACAGAGGAGGGAGATCTTGTACCTGAATAAAACTTGGTCTTAAAGGTGCCACTGGACTGTTTTGGACCAGGGGTCCGGGGGGAGCTCTGCAACTTACCTGGCTGCTTCTTGCTCTGACTGAGGGCTGCTGAGAGCAGGGGGTGGGGCTTGTTGCATGTGCCCGCCCCCTGGGCTCTTTACTGCCAGAGCTCCGCTCCCGTGCGCTCCTGTAGGAAATGACCCCCTGGTTTTGCTAGGAAATTTGTTTTTTGCGCAAGGCCTTGTTGAGTTTTGAAGGAGAGAATAGGGGGAGGCACCACAGAGATTTAAGAAAAGTTGCCACATGAGTCATATTACATATGGGAACTTGTGTTTGTGTGTGTGTGTGTAAAATGCAAAGGGAATTCAAATACTTGGGACATGCTGATTAGTAGCATGTGTTCAAATATTAGATTCTAATTGTATTATTATTTTGGTTTAAAACATGTGACTTTTACTTCAACTCTTTTATTTTATCTATTATGATTTATTATGTTTAAGATTTACTCTTAAACTGACAAGAGAAAAGGCGAGTTAAAATATCACTTTGGTTATCTGATATACTCTGCATACCTTTGTTGGAAATGTGTCTCATGAATCTGTGGTATCTGGCTACAGAAGATCTACTGCTAATAGTGTATTAGAGTAATACTGTTGCAAAGAATATTGGACATTTTAAAAAATTATTGTATGTTAATAGTGTTTGAAGTTTGCTGAACTCTGAGCCTCCTGATGTAACCAGTGATGGCATTGTGCACTTAACTGAGGACAGTGTTAGGTCAATTTAAAATTTTAACAAAGTCTAGCATCAGTGTGGCATGGGTTGAGTAGTACATTAGTGTATTTTTGTGCCTCCGCCTTTCTTTTTTAATTGTGGGGATTGTTGTTGGAAATTTACATTGTTTACTTTTAATAATGTTTTTAAAAAGAGGCTTTGAAATTCACATTTAATTATATTGTATTTGTACAATCTGCCAGTAATATTTCTTGCACAGAGGTAATTGACATGGCTGGTGTTTAACAAGAGCATAACTCTCACTCCATTCCCATTTATTCCCATGAGGCTTACACAGGAGAGTCTCTTAGTAGATTTTATGCATGGTGTATTCTCCAGTAAGCATTCGGTGAGAAAGAAGCACCTCTTACTGCTCTATAATTCTCTCTCAGACAAAAAGCATTAGCCCTGCTCTGTAATCTCTCAAAGTGGTTGACTTATTGAGGACATTTACTGTTTAGGAGAGGCAATTATTTATAACAGTAATTGCTGTTTTACAGAAGTGACACCTTTTCCTATCAAATCACTGCTACAAACCCACCCAGGATGCCAAACGCCCATTGAGAGTTTGCACTTTTGCCACAGTGGTGGAATGCAAGTTAGAATGGAAAAGATTTAGAGTAGTCTGGGAGCAATTGTCTCATTCCTCTAATGTCTAGTAAAGTCAAATAATGTATTTCTTTGGATAACTGTGCACAATAATTCAAGGATTGTTCTGGCCAGCAGTCGGGGCTGGCTTGACTACTAGGAAAACCTAAATTGCCTAGAGCAGGGGTGTCAAAAATGTAGCCTGAAGGCTGGATCAGGCCCCCAGAGGGCTTCTATCAGGCCCACAGTGGAACTGGCGGTCTCCTGCTTCTTCTTCCAGTTCTGCTGCTGCTGCTGCGTCCTAGCTTGGTTTAAATCCCCTCCCCTTCCATCTAAAGAGCCGGCTTGTCCGCGCCCCACGCAGCCACGCAGGGCGCGGGAAAGCAATGGAAGGGGAGGGGGCTTAAACTGCCTTCCTGTCAGCGAGCTGCCATCTCTTTGCTGTAACGTCTCACGTCCCTTCCTTCTTCCCCCCCCCCCACCTTGGTTGTTGAAATGTTTTCTCCGTTAGGCAACTGCTGTAACCAAGGTCGCCAGCTGGTGAGAAGTGGGAGTTATGTCTTCGCGCTCATGCTTATTTAGCTTTACCCGTGTGAAAGGAACTTGTGTTTAGGAAACCGGGCGTTACTTTCTCATGTAACTTCGCGCCCTTTCTAATCTCCCCGTTTCCAGCGGGAAGTGGGACCATTGGTCCAAACCTTGTTCAAAATCCCTTTATTATACCTGTACTGCTGACTAACGTCATTCCAATCAATTCCTGTGTGTTCGTGATCAACCATGTCTTTGAAATAAATCTTGCTTTACTTTTGAACTTGGATCTATTCTCATGCTTGGGGATCTAACATTTTGATTGGAATCCTATTTTCCCCCTCACCTCGAATCTGACAGAAGTCATGAGCGGGGCAGAAGGGAAACCACCATCCCAGGCGGGTGATCGGGGGGACATGACACGAAACCATCCCGTGGCCTCCTCCGACCCCATCGCACTGGGGCAGACGGGAGGTATGGGTTGTGGATGATTGGACTATGTTCGACACCCAGGGCACGAAAGAGACGTTTTCTCACCGTGGCAGTGGGCTCCGTGAGAGCCTGTTTGATCAAGATTTATACCTGGAAAGACCACAGAGTTGCCCTCTGGAGAGCTACCGAGACGAAGACGACTTTTGGCCAACCGAAAGGCCGAGTGGACTCCTACCCGGCCGAGAGGGAGCGGGGCGCCAGGAGAGCAGAGAGGAACGACTGACAGAGTTGCCCTCTGGAGAGCTACCGAGACGAAGACGACTTTTGGCCAACCGAAAGGCCGAGTGGACTCCTACCCGGCCGAGAGGGAGCGGGGCGCCAGGAGAGCAGAGAGGAACGACTGACAGAGTTGGAAAGAGCTGTGCAAGACCTGATGAGGACAGTAACCGAAGTCTTCAATGCAATACC